CCCCCCCTCAGAGTACCAGGCTTAGAACCCCCCTCATACACCTACTATTTATCATAATCTTTTTTATATCTGAAAATCTCGAACATTAGAATATTTAAAAGATATTTAATATATTTATATTTCCAAAATATTTTGTAAATGTTGTGTGCTGTCTGGGATGTTTTTTTCTTTATCCTTTTGACGTTACACATTTCACACAGGTAAAACAGCGAAATTTCGCATTCATTATTACATATGTACACGTTGTTAATTCGCCCAGCGTAACCCATGTGTAGGATGCGTTAGAATGCAAAGAAATGTGACGATTTTTGTAACTGTTTTGCAGGGATAACACAATGCGCTATTTAATTCTCGTGATGGTAACGGTCATAGCGATACTCGTGTCGTCTATATGGATGGATTTTACGAAAGGAAACTTGACATATATGGCATGGGTGCCGTTCGATTATTCAGGCTCTATTGCATTCACTCTCGTGTTCACTCATCAAATGATAGGCATGGCGGCCTCCGGTTTGGTGAACGTCGCTTGCGAGAGTCTAGTTTGCGGTTTCTTGCTGCAGATATGCTGCCAATTCGAAATCCTGGAGCACCGATTGACAAAAATCACGCAGGGTCAGGACGTTCTGCGTGATTGCATACATCATCACAATCTCGTATTTGAGTCAGTTCTTGAAGCAATTTCAAAATACGCGTAAAATATCCAGTAAACAAAATATCATTAATAGAACGTTATTGCAACGATATTTAATAACATAACGTTTTCTAATATATAGTTTTTAACGTTGTTAACATTATTACGAATAATTTCGACACTTTAATATTTCTAAAACATTTTTGCAATATTCAAAGTGATTGTATTATCCGGTAATATCTTTGAAATGTTTATAAAATATTAAACGAAAATATTCAAGAAATACGCGTAAAATTAATATTTCAAGAAATTGATCCAATATTCTTTGTTTACTGGGTATGCCCTTCATTTTACAACAATTGTCAATTGATCTGTAAGTAGTACGAATATTATCGAGAGGTTTATTGTATTTAAAGCATAATCGTGAATCTACCAATGGTTCTATACTTAGCTACGGACATCGCGAGCAATTTTCTGGTTTTATGTGCTCTCTTACAAAATTTATAAGTAATTTGCGAGAATATTGAGTCTATATAAAGATCCTTCTGTCTGATCGCAGATACGCGAGCACATTGAATAATATGTTTACGAAAATAATCGCCGTTCAGTTCGCGGTGAGCATGTTGGTGGTATGCTCGAATTTGTATCGAATAGCGATGGCCGAGGATTACGCGAGCTTTATTCCATTAATATGTTACACCAACTGCATGTTAGCGCAAATTTTCATTTATTGTTGGTTTGGGAACGAAGTTAAGTTAAAAGTACATATCTTATTATATATACGAAATATTATACAAATACATAAAAAAACGAAAAGAATATATCGGGAACCAGTGTTCCAGTGGTAACGCATTATTATTGCGTTAATCAATAAAAGAAATTGATCATTCAATGAAATGTATATTATAACCGAATTTATTAATTAAATTAAATTAATCGAAACATTAATAAGTAATATACGCGATTCCTGTTACGCTTTTATTTATAGAGTCTTCACTTGACGAATAATATTTATGAGATGAATTGGCCAGTGCTTAACAATAACAACAAGCGATCTCTTCTGATTCTTATGAAACGTGCAATGATTCCCATCGAATTTAGTAGTGCATACATAATCACGATGAATCTTGACTCGTTTGTGGCAGTCAGTATCGATCATTTAATGGAACAAGAATTGTTATAGATTACTATAGACATTTTTTAGAGAAAAGAATAACTTTAAACGTGTCTGTTATTTCTACAGGTACTTAAGCTGTCGTATTCAACTTTCAATTTGCTGCGTCAAACGCATGAATAGTAACGTGGTTACTATATAGGGGTTGTTATTGTTCACACTTGGTTCTGTTACAGAAACTTGCGTATTATATATTGTAGTATTCAAAAAAAAATATATTAATATCTCGTTAATTTTTCTCATAGGTAAATTAAAAAGACATACAAGTTTTCATGATTTCAGATTTTACAGGTTTCACAGGTTTTCAGATTTCATAGGTTCTCAATGGGACAATTTTTTTCTGGACTTCTGGACTTGCTGCATGTCAAAATGAAACCTAAAATTCTTTTATACCAGTTAATTTGAAATGTAAATATATGATTTGAAACATCAAATGGCCGTATAGTCGAACTTTATCTTTTTCAGAACACTGAATATTGTAATGTTCTAGAGTCCCCTCGTACATCATCTGCTGATGTTGTTTGAAGATGTGTATGTATATATTCAAAGACAAATGGACAATATAATCTCAACAAGGCTCTTTTTCTCTTTTCTCTTCCCCTCAAATTATTCACAAATATGTTATCACAAAATTATCAGCATTTTTAATATACGTATCTTCTTCATAAAAGATATTCGTAGATTTCTTCGTGAAATCTTTTGTTGTCTCGAAAAATAATATATGTTTATATAAGTTCGACAATCCTGGTAAATCATACGGATCGCACATAAAGCCTGCAATGACATATCATCCATCAACAACTGAAACGTCTATGGGTAAATTAGTTTTGCACGCTTTCGGGCTAAAAGTATTATTCTATCTACCTTCGGCATGTAATGAGTGATAAAGATAGAATAATGTTTTTCTAACACGAAAGTAAGACAAACTTAGTCTGTGAAGGATCACGTTTATTTTAATTTTAAATATACCTGTTGCTTTTGATAAAGTGAATGAATGATTAAATAATGAATAAATGATATAAAATATAAAAAAATGTTGATATTAATTAATATAATTATAATTATAATTAATATAATGTAATTATATTACAGTATTTGGTATCAATCTAAGCATAAAACAGAACGATAGTGTAATAAAAATTACCGATATTCATGTCCAATGCAGCTGCGCTCTTATCAGTGGATGGATTATTTATTAGAAGCACTTTTAATTTATTAACGAGTACTAAGCCTCTGTGTACAATCTGTTATCGTTTTGAGATTTTATTATAGTGTCGTTTTTTCCTTTACATAATTATCCTAAGGAGCCATGTCAGTGAGCTCTTAGAGATTGTATTATCATACTGTTGTAAAATAGGTACGTACATAACTTGAAAGTTAGAATATATGACCCCGTATTGACTTATAATATTTATTTAAATATATACAGAGTGGGGGAAGAATACATTTAGGCCTGATTGTGCACCAATCAAGTGATAAACTAAGCAGCACAGTTAAAATATGTGTCTTTAATTATTTTAAAGGAAAAAGGAAGATATATGATTTAACTGTTAGTTAACTTATATACAGTTCAGTACAACCAAGTGCCTTATTCCTCTATCTAAATTATATATTGTTCTTTAAAGTTCTTTTATTTTAACGTATCTTAATATCATAGAAACAAATTCGATATCTGTGATAAAAATGTGAGAAGAGAAAAAGAGAGTGTGTACTAAATAATTTAAAATATTCTTTACCTGTGATTTCTCTAAATTTGTTTTCTTGGCTATTTATTCATAATTTTTTATTTTTGCTATCTTCACTCGAGCAACTCATTCAAAGACAGCAATTGTTTCATATACAAAATATATAATACTTCAAGACGTAACACATGTATGTAAGTAAAAGAAATCAAATTTAATATATAAGTTCTGTACCGTTTTGTAAATTTTGCAATAGCTATTATAAGAAATTAATTAAACAATATTGCGGAATTTGTAAAATAGCACATAACTTTCCTGTATAGTTTGATGAACTTTACCTGCACACGAATATTATATCTTGAATTGTCACAGATATCTTGTACATATGTAAAATTTACAAGAAAGGAAGAGAAAGAGAAGAGAGAGAGAATATTCTTTAATGAATACACCAAAAATTTTAGGTACATTCAACAGTAAATATTGTATAAAAAATTCTTTATACATATAAAGTATTTTGTGTGATGAAACATGTACCTAAAATGATGAAACATACACCTTAAATGGTCAGGATGTGTTTTACAAAAAGCATATATGATACCCATCATAAATTAATTTTGTTCCATTTTTTAATAAATAATTCTTATACAAGCAAAAGCACATATAAACACAAATATAGTAATTATAATTGATCTCAACTAAAACCCTTACATAATACTAAATAAATTTGATACAACATGAAAACAATTGCGATGACAAAAAAGATAATGCAAATAAAATTATCACATTACAAAAAAAGAATGTCTTTCATTACATTGCCAATATTTACTTAAGTGGACAATGTATGGAACAAGGAAATATGAACTGACATTTATAATCACAATTTATGACGTTCATAATTACAAATTTACACATTTATATTTTATATAACAAAATATATGGATATCATAAAATTGATATCAAACAGAAAATAAGTAAAATAATAAAGTTCAAAGCAATATGTTTTACTTTCATATACTTGTCCAATGTAATCTTGTGCCATAAATAACGTTTTTCTATATAATTGATTTAGATCATATATAAATGTTGGTTATTTAAGAATATATGTTCGTACGAAAATTGCAACTTTTCAAAGGGAATTGTTTAGATCAAGTCGTGGCCTTTTACTGCGTACTGTGGATCCATCATCTTGTGAGTCACCATTAGTAGATAAAAATTCTCTTTTTCTGTCTGCATTCTGAAAAATTATTACATTTATGGTAAAAAAATATCAGAGTAGAATCAATTGATAAAAGTCATTAGTGATATTTGATTTCTAAATAATATTATTGCACTACCTTTTTATCCCATTGTTGATGAAGATACCTCAATAAGATGGTGGTTTTCTCAGTAACTATAACTACAAATACAAAATTAAATACCATGTCCATGTGGAGCATAGTCATTATTCTACAATAAACATTTACTTTGTTCTGAAGGATAATCCTTGGTAGGAAGATAAACAGATGGTCTCTTGACACATGTCCGATTACCGTTGTCAGTATGAAAATTCGCAAAATTATTTTCATTATGAGAAGGGAGACCCTTCAAAAATTCTGCAACAGACTGTAACGAGATATTTAGAGAAATACGAAAATTATGTAGAATTATTCTATTTTGTAAATTACTTTAGAATAGTATTAAAAGAAGTAGAATAATATAAAAAAATAAGAAAAGAGATAAAATATATTGAGGAGGCTAAAATTACAGCACCGAAAAATATTAGAAACCGACATAACTTGACATAAACGTTGCTTTTCAAATCTAAAGAATGACATATGTAACCTCTAAGATCGATAAAAAAATAATTATACGGGGAGCACAGTGAGAAATACACTTCACAATAAACAACACTTCTCACCATTGTGGGTGAATATGTAATCTGCTAAATACGGGACCAACGGTTGTCCACGTAAACAAAAAAAGGAATTATTTCGTATAATTACGTTGATATAAAGGCAACTGTCGTCATTGCTATTGAACGATCATAGAATATGCCGTGAGATAGATTCAACCATACACATAAATAAGAGGTACAGTACTTGGAAAGAGTTTAATCGTTTAGCTGCACTCCAAGTACAGAACAGTAGAGGTGGAATTACACTTCCTCTAACTGCACTCTGTACACTATAGTGCACGAAGTGTGCACTGAAACCTATTATGCTCGTATCAGTACGGATCAAATAGAAACATGAGAGCTATATTTTAATTATTATAAAAAAGTAATAATATTCGAATAATAAATGGTGGTGATAATAATATTTGATCGACAATCGTGTGATAATAGCCGCGAGAGGACTGAATAACGATGTTCGAATAATCAGTAATAACAATGAATAATCAGTAATAACAATAATAACAACAAAAACTGGGCAGCGGCAATAACAACTGATTAAAGGCGAGGTAAAGAAATTGTCGTAACGGCACGCCCGAGTTGCTTTCCTATGCGTAATAGTAATAATTAAATAATAACCGAATAAATTAAATAATAATCGAATAAAGAAGTAATAAAATTCGTATATTAAATGGTAGTGATAATAATATATGTTCGACAATCGTGTGATAATATCCGCGAGTTGATAATAGCGAAATAATGATGATCGAATAATCGGTAATAACAATACCTGAACAACAAAAACCCTAAATTCTACAAAAGCTAGGTAAACTGACCGTTGTAACGGCCGCTCGGGTCGTTGACTGAGTGGAATTGAAGGGGGGGG